AACCCAGGTCCCTGGCCCTGTAGCCCTGACAGCTGGGGTCCCCCACTGGCAGGGCTGGGGGAGGGGGCTGTGAGTGGGGAGTGAGGGGCAATGGCACAGTCAGGGCACTGACATGTCAGGGCTGCTCAGCACCACAAAACAGTGGTGGGGGACAGATGCAGCTGGACCCATGTCCTGGTGACCTTTCTATGATACAAAACCCAAAATCAAATGCCAAAATGTACAGGTATTTTGAATTTATTACAGTGACTGAGGCACTGGTAGGCTTCCACATGACTTTAAAATTGATAATATATCAATAAAACATTGTGTTCAACTGATATATAAGTGGTGTTTTATTTTAATCATGGATAAAACACAAATTTGGGGGGTTTAATCAGAGAATTTGCTATTTTTAAACAGGGAAAACCAAGATCTGCAGTGATGACATATTAGAAATATGCAGATAATAGAATTATGCATCACATCTATACAAAGAGATTTAAAAACCTAACACATATCAAAACACTAAATAAATTCAGCTTCCTGCAAAGTGTTTATTCTATTTATTAATGCAAGAGCACTCAAACATTTTTCAGATGTCAAAATAAATTCTAAGAAAGCAAATTTTCTGCTTCTGTATTAATAAATTAAGCATACCTTTGTTGCGCTCCCTCTACAAAATGAATAGCCAAGTAAGTTATTGTTTTTAAAACTGAAAACATCATATTATAAAATCAAATATAATGTTTAATTGGATAAAGTTTATTCTTACTTGGCCCATTTGAGGTCTTGTCTTTCTTTCTTCTCTTACATATACAACAAAATAAGGAAGCCATGTGACTAAGAATAATAAGAGGTGGAGGCAGAACAGGCTTTTCATGGTAGGCCATGATGAAATGATAGCGTTGATACTTCCATACAATATTTGAAATTGCCTTTACTTGTAAATATACATTGCTGAAGAGGAACACAAAAAGAAGGTTTTAGCATGTCCAGTATTATAGTAATGAGTTATCAGAAGGGATTTTACCACCCATCTATCTTACAAAGCTATAAAATGTGGAAGAAATGTAGCATGTTGTAGGTATGTATATATTTTAATTTTATTGCATAAACCTGGGGTTGGTAATTTATGGTCCTCAGACTGGATCTGGCCCAGGAAGGTCCAACTTGTACACAGGCAGCAGTGGGGACTGAGCAGCTTGCAGCTGTGCTGAGAGACTCATCCTCTCCACAAGTCCCCCTGCTGCTCTTGTGCCTACATATACCCTTGCTACAGAGAGGTGGGGTATCTACAGAGGGGAACTGCAGGCAGTTTGAGCTCTCCAGAGACTGGAGCTTGTGGCCCATGGAAGGTGCCAAGTTAAAAACTCTAGGCTACCAAGTCAAAAAGGTTGCCAACCTCTGATATAAGCAGCCCATTATGAACTTCTAATTTCCACTGAAAATGTTTTAAGTCTTAGTGGTATAGTCTTTCCAAGAGAGGCTTTGGTCTCTGTCATGCTTATGTGGGAAACAATATTAAATTTTAAAAGTATTTCAGTGTAAGGCAGGAAAACTGGCTTTTAAATTAGAGGCATCTTTTTCACACCTTTGTTTGGTTTTATGCCATTTCCTTGAAAGAAAAGGGAGAGAAAACCTAAGATTAGGGAATAAGATTTCCTTTGGGAACATGGTCATCCATTTTGTTCTACTGCAACTACCTCACAATTACATCATCCTTTTGTAAGACTTCTTTTAAATTTAACATCCCAAGCCAAATGGTACACCTGTTCTATCAGGTTAAATTGGGAATTGTGCTCAGGGTACTTATAATTCAGGATTACACCCTAGAAGTTATTTATTTGTATCTATATTGATCTGGTAGTGACAAAGACTATCATTTTAACAAACAAATAAATAAATAAATAAATAAATAATCCATAGGTTGTCTCAATCCTCTTTCTGATGGATACCTCTTGCCACCAAATACACCTCTCATAGATGCTGAAGTCAGAAATACAAGAAGGAACACCTCTTCTATTCTGCATTAAGCATAATTCAGGAACATGTAACAGGTAACTGATATCCACTAGGAAAGAATAGCTGTCTATTCTAGTAACTGCAACAAATGCTTTTATTCTCTGCTTATACAAGGATACTGTGGCGATTAACTACAGACCTACTTTTCTAAAAACAGTTTTGCCGTTTTACTTGCATTTTGCCCCTCGTTTGCATGCAAATCTGCTGTAATTATGTGTAAAAGAAATGACCAGTTAAATGATTAACTAGCCAGTTGTACACACAAAATCAGCCTATCCCCATGCATAAGCACAGGTTGCTGCTCATGCTCATGTACTTTTTTAAAATGAAAATATTCCTATAAACTTAAAATCACTCTTTGCAGAATTTTTTCTATTAGGAGTACAATTTTTACCACTCACAGCATACCTACAGTTGCATTAAATAATTAAGTCAGATTTGTTTTCTGCCAAATTCCAATATGCAGCTTCTTCAAAGATGAAAATAAATTTAGTTGGTTTAATAAAAATATATTATAGCGCCTCTCTGTTTACAAAATAATGCAAGTATTCAAACAGTTACAACATAAAAATATGTACACAGTTGCTGAACTATAACTTTTCTAGTAAGTGGCTGTATAAAAAGCAGACGCAAGTATTCATTTAAATAAGTCTGAATTGCAGTGCCATTACCACGCTAAATTTTCTGTATTGTTACTTATGAATATTACCTGATTTATTCATAACTACGAATACCTGAAGGACAGTGAAAAGGGGGATGGTGATAGGCTAGTGTCTGTGGCTGCAGGGGACAGGAAAAGAAATATCCCTCCTCCTTTGGAGTTGTTTCTACAGCACTGAAGAGTAAGAGACCACACTGAACACCTGGAAAAACTATGTCAAAACTGCAGGGCCTTATATTGTCATCAGTCCTATTTCCAGTCAGACTATATGAGTCAAAGATGTACTTAATCACCATATTATACTATTTATCAATATTAAACGTTCATTAAGAGTTAATCATATACTTACTTGAAAAACGCAATAAGTAGATTAACCATAATAATGTATTGTACAAAGAGGTAGACAGCTTGAAGAAATGGGGTCAACCACGTTCCAGGTCCACAGAGCTCACTAACTTCTGATTTATTTGCACACACTTTGGAGGAGGGAGAAAAAAAAATTTTTTGAGGACCTTCAGCATTTATACAAGTCACTTTATAAATGTGATCATGAAATAATGCCCAGCATGCCCTTCTCCTGGACTTAAGAGAACTACAGGAAACAAGTATATAACAATGCTGGTGGGGTTTTCATCACTGTTTTTTTTAAGGCTGTAAACAAAATGTTGGTATGAAATTTATTCCAAATAAAACATCAAAATCAGCTCCAGCTTTGTGCCCCCAAAGAGTCCAAAAAGAACTATTCTTTTTGACTGAAGGAGAATCAGAACTTGTTCAGAGCAAGAAAAAAAAATGTATTCACACATTTTGAAGTTATAAAATTAAAAGGTGCAAGTCAAGGAGAGGCAATTTAATTAGCTAAATCTATAACAACAATAAAATGCATCTCCATATATCAGAATTTCATCTCCTTAACCCTTAATTTTTTCCAAAACTTGTTATAATACAGCAACATCTTACCATCAATTTCATATGCATAAACTTCACCAAAAATCATCCAGTATGGATGAAACACAATATCCTTAGCAAGGGTCCAAGACGGTGCTTCATTAGGATACAGTATTGCTTTCCTGGGAACACCAAAACTAAGCAGCACAAGTGCCATAATCACCACAATGTAAAACATGTTGGCCACCTGTTCAAAAAAGAGAGGAAAATGCAGTCACGTAAAATTTTGAAAGCTTAATTGAAAACTCTAACGTACAAGAATTCTTAAATACATCTATACTAAACATCAGAATATGTATATGTGAATGGACACCCAAACAGTTTTCTGCGGGTTTCTGGTGTTTAGCAACAACACCAAGTAAAGGATAACTGAGCCTTACACTTTAAACCAGAAACCAAGATGAGAATCCAGCGTCACTGAAGTCTGACATTAATTAATTATCAAAGAATAAAAAAGTCAATCCATTCTGTTATAACTTAGGTGTTATACAACAATACTATAGGAATTTGCACGTTTTGCAATTTTAAATCAGTTGGAGGGTTCTATAAATAGGTTAGAATATTCACTCATTTAAAACTCAAGATAAAAAAACTCCAGTTTTTCCTGCCATTACTTATTATGGTAAGTAGGAAGCCTGGGCAAAGAGTATCTACTGGGCTGCTTAGCCAAAGGTAATTGAAAGGATTCTCCCTGTGGTTCATAACTGCCAGCTGATTGCAAAAGAAAGGTTACAGCTAAAATGTGAGACACTCCTCCAACCTCATTCTCCAAGAAGCTAAAACAAGTGAATCTAAATTACAGAGAATCAGTCTGATTCAGGAGCAGAGCCCAGGTTTATTTCTAATGAAACAACAACACAATTAGCAAGTTGCTTTTTTCTGTATAGGTGTGTTAAAGATACAGTCTGTGGACCAGATGTGGCTGTGGAGTCATGCAGTCTGGCCCCTGGTGCTGCTCCTGCATCTGAGCTAATCCACAAGTTGCCAGGATGCAGAGCGCAGGATGTGTTTGGGGTGACCACATGAAGTGCTCACCCCAAACACTCTGGGATCCACACCACACATGGTTCCCACCCTCCTGCCCAGTCCAGGACCATGGTATATGTCCTGGACCAGGTGGGAGGGACATGGGTGGGGAAGTAGGCACCACATGCAGCGTGGATTCTGGAAAAGCAAGAATGTGCACCACATGCAGCAGGTCCCAAACTAGCAGAGGCAAGCACTGCATGTAGCATGGACTTCCAACTGACTGAAATGGGTGCCATGTGTGGTGCAGTCCCAGACTGGGCCAGTCTTTTAAAGGAGTTAAAAATCAGTATGAAAAATAGCAAATTAACAGCTTTTCAACTTGCAGGTCCCAAATCACCCCAATCTTCCCATAACGCACTGGGAGAAGGGTTGTTCTACATCAAAAACTTCATTAGAGAGACTTTAGGGATAGACTGTGCAGACATCAAATCCCAGAAAAATATGCATGTTATCCTAACTCTACCTGAAAACATAAGCTAAAGGACATGCTTCCTTTTCTTTATTCTGAGTATTTTAAGAAATTTAAGCATCATAAAGAAATAGGATGAAGAGGGAATTTAATATTTTCCCATTCCCAGTTTTTTCCCTGTATTTAATTATAAGGTATACCTTGTAAACAAGATGCCTGAAACAAAAAAAGATCTTTAACAAGCACAGCCAATGGAACAAAAGGGATTTTCTCTACATCAAAGTGAAGGCACCAGAGTTTATAACATGCTTGGCCAACCATTTACTGTACCTGAACAGAAATGACATACCTTTTACAAACTCTTGTGCATTTTGACATATGGAAGAATGACATAAGTACAATAATCTTTTCTAAACAGGTACCTCCTTTTCTAAATCTTTTCTAGACCTTTTAGAAAATAATTAAAAAAACCATTAAGTTAAAGGGGAGAGAGGCATCTTTTCAATAAAGCAAAACTTACCATTTTCCCAATCATCATGACATAAGGCCCAGCCTGTTGATTTACTGCCAAAAAATCCAGTAATCGCACATACCAAAATATAATATTTAGACAGTATGTTATTCTTCCAGAAACAAATATGTAATTTTTTTCATAAGTATCATCATGAAAGTTCCCTTTTGCTCCAAACCTTAGTGCAAACCCAATGAAGAAAGTAACAATGGCAATTGTATCACTGACATTGAAGTAATCACTGAACCACACTTTAACCTTCTGGTTAATCTTTCCAGCCTCTGACATGAAGATCTGCAGCCAGAATGATATAAAAAAGAAAAAGAAATATCAGGTAAGCCCTTACCTGTTTCATACCACTGAACCATCTGAACATTTTATCAGTAAACAAAGAAGTTAGCGGTATATTTGAGCATGCTTATTAAATAGATGAAATCTAACATTACAGCTGAACCCTCTGACTTCTCCCAAACCTATGTTAACATTAACATGGTGCATTTTCAGCCAATTTAGGGTGCAATAAAATGGCAATTTTATTTACTGTTACTCTGTGCTGGCAGTCACAGGACTTAGATCCAAGGAATGTTATGCCCAACCCCCAAAAATCATGCCTGACGTGCATGGCAAGATACTTGGCAGACAGCATGGATTAAAAATTTTTAAAAAGATGATTAAAAAAACCCAATTAAAATGGATTTAAAAAAATAATTTTTATTTTTTTAATTTAAATTATAATTAGGGTTTTCCTTTTTAAAAATAAATCATCTTAAAATTTAAATTGAATTTAATACAGCATAGACTAAAGTATAAATTCAGTATAATCCGTTAAAATACTTTAAATAAAATAAAACAGTGAGTCAATGAGCTTCTATTAAAAACTATCGATTTTCTTTTCTATAAGAATTGAGGGGGAAAAAACTCTAACTTTTGAGGTCCAGCTTTAAAAATATAGTACAATACAATGTAATAAGATACTTGACCTGGGAGGCAGAGTCTATATTACTGGATGCAAAGGATACAAGTGTAGGAACCTGGCCTCTGACTACAGCAGACCCCTGGCCTCTGGCTACAGCAGACCCCATCAAAACATGGTTCACATTTCTAACTAATTTTTTTAACATTGGGTGCATCTACACATGCAATTAATGCGATGTAATAAACTCCAGAATACTTTGAGCTGGAGTACACTGCTAATGGGCACAGCATTTACATGTGTGCCTGGGACAGCAACACTGAGCCAGGGTGGAGCAGGCATGGGCTGGCAGGGGGTTTGGGGTGGCCTTGGGCTCAGCATCAGGCAGTGGAGGGGCTGGATGGGGCACAAGAGTGCCAAACATGCACAGCCACATAGCTAGGTGGCAGGAAAGGGTCTGCCTGGGCTAACCAGGCATAATTTCCACCACGGTCACTGTCTACACAAGAGTTTGATTGCAGGGATAGTGCTATCTTACAGCAGAGTAATTCACTGTGATTTGTGGTGGAGTTAGTTTACTGGGCACTGACACCAGCACAACATGAAGGAAGAGTCCTAAAGTTAATGAAGTTGTGGTTTGCACTTAAAATCTATCATAAAGTCATTCATCTGCCCGCTCTGCATAAATGCATAGCACATTCATTTCAAACTCAGTTTATTAGTCTGATGTCTAACTGTGGACATTTCCCTATAATTCTTAGGAATCCCACATGCCTCCTCTGAAAGAAAAAATAAGGCTCAATATTGGGTCCGCAAGTGCTGACCTTGGGGCGAGAGTCTTAAAAGTGTGTGCAACTGTTCAACTAGAGTGTACTCAAATCTTTTGAATAACAAGTATTTTTATTTATATATGGATGCCATATTTTTATTATGCATAAGGTATGTCCACAAAGTCTTTAAGATGCAACTGCTTATAATAAAGATAAACTGGAAGATATATTAGAAGCAAGGCTTGTTTGGTAACATCTTTTACTGGCCCAAATATATGTTTGGGAGAATTATGTCAGACACGTAATGAAAGGTATTACCAAACTGACCTTGCTTCTCACATTCTCTGGATATTTGATGACTTAGCTACCACGCCAACCCTAATTTAAAAAAGATATTAATAATAGGTACATGAATACTTTTAATTTCTGCACCTCTTAGGTTGATTTCTGGATAAAAATTATTGCAAACAAACCTCACGAATCTTTTCAATGGCTGATGTAAAAATGTAAGCAATAACAATCCATTCTTGAACTGATGGCAACTCCTCCATTTTCACAAGGACCACATATGTGTAGAGCATGAGAAATCCTAAGTATGCCAGCTAGAAAGAAGCAAACAGAGATAATTATATTAAGTTAAATTGTTTCTAGTGTAGCTAGGTGCACAATAACTGTATATCTTTCATGTTCTGTATGCCAAAATAGCAAACACAAATTGTAGTATTTGCTTGAAACAGAGAAGGTAGAAATATTGTATACAGAGTTTATATATCCCCTCAAGATCCAAAAAATGACAAGAAGCTACAACTAATAAGCAACTTGCTTAATTATTTCAAGATCCCAGATCAGTTACATGCAGCTTTGCCTAAATGTGTGATATTCTTCATTAGTAAAATACCAGGCTAAAGTAAAAAACAACAGTGCTAAATTAATATTACTTCACACTTGAAGACTGTACCACTACAAACGGGATATTTTGGCATGTCATGCATACATTCTTCAGCTTCCAAGATTTCAAAGCTTCCCACTCTTACTGTGGGAAGAAGAGAGTTTTAGAAAGGCGAGAACAGGAATAGTAACAAAATTAAACCAGTTACATACTAGGCAAAAAAAATGTC